CCTAAGGAATTCACGGTGTTTTGGCTGGCTGGCTTGGGAAGTGTAGATTCAGTCTGGAGAGGTTTCTGTCTGAGAGGTTGAAGCTAATAAATGCAACAGAACTGTATCTATACTGTCTCGTGGAGTTCTTTGGGCTGAACCTGATGACCAGTTGCTTTAACATAGATTTAGTCTGGCGAGATTCTGTCTTTAGGGTGTAAGCAAATAAAGGAACTGTACTGGACTGAACTGTCTCATTGTTGTTCTTGGGCTGGGCCTGACAACAGCACCTGGAACGAGTTTAACCAAAGGAATCTGGGAAATGGCACTAGATATATCTAGCAGTTTCTGCACACAAGGTAGGCCCAGGCTGGAGAATACTATGGAGCATATCATCAAATCAGTCACCTTGGAATTGCAGAGAGGCAGAGACACCTGTGGATGGTTTCTGGGCTGCAGAGATGGTACCAAAGCAGAGGCTATAAAGTCATCCAGCAGAATGTCTAGGAAGGAGTGAATGTAGTGGACGGTGGACTAAGATGTATCTGGATGGGAGAGGGGAAACTTTGGAAGCATGACATGTTGGTATGGAAAGGTGCAATTGGCAGCCAAAAAAAATTGGATTTAATGTTTTAATATATGGCAATTACTCATATTAACTATATAATTAATTAAATTTAAATTAAATAACATCAGACCTAGTGCTTGTTCCAGTTCTGCCTATTAAAGGTAAAGTACAGTCCTTGGCCAAAAGACCCAGCACACTCTTGTTCCAGGGGCCAAATTGTTGGTTTAGGACTGAGGAGACCTAAGTTCAAGTCCACCCTTAACCATAGAAACCCTTTGAGTGACTTGGGCCAGTTCCTCTCAGCCCAACATGCCTCATAAGATAACCATTAAGAAGAATAAAAGGAAGGGAGATCCCCTTCAAGAAACCATCTTGAGTCTTGGAAAAGTAGGATATACACCTAACTAACTAGTAAATAAATAAATAAATAAATCCAAAATATTCATCTTCCTCTAAATGCTTGGGCGACAGTCCTAATTATTTTGAGAAATGTTTCATCTGACAAAAAATTTAGACCACAGATAGATTATCTTTTTGATGCAAAGCCTTTCATTTTTTATATATATTAGTTGATAGCAGTGGCACCTCTGAACCTCTTGCCCTTTTGCTTACTTCTCCATGGCTTTTTCTTCTTTTCCTCCCCCCCCCCCTTTCTTTTTTTCCATTCCAGTGTTCACAGATCTGCTTTAGCACTTCCCTATCATCACTGTTACCAGAAGCACTTCAGCCTACAGTATCACTTGAACACATTCAGGGCAAGATGAGAAGGGACAATGTAAGTCATGAACAAATCCAGCTCTCAGCCCCAAGCAGAGGGGAGCATCTGTGATGGCAGGGATGATAATTAAACAAGTATTGGGAAGAGAATTAATAAAAGCATTGCCCCGCCTAATTGCAAAGACATAATAGCTCCAGAGTGGTAGTCTCTCCTCGGCTCCCCCCAAATATCCTGCAAGGGAAACAGCCACCTTGGGTGTTGTTCTCACCACTGAGATGGCTGCTGTTCATGACATTCATATTTCATGACACAAGGACCATCCTATGCCGCCTGGTGCTGCCAGACAAAACTGATCTCTTGATGTTAATTGACCAAGCTGATTCAGACCCACTTGATATAGAAACTCCAGGATGGGGGCTTGGGGGCGAGGGAAGACACATTTCAAGACCTGACAGCATCTCAGCCTCTAAAGTATATAGCCGGGCAGTGAAAGTGTTAGTAATTTATAATCCTTTCAAAAACTAACAAAAATCTACTGTTATCAGCCACAATGAAAATTGATAATCATGCACCTACACAATCCGTTAATTCTCTACAGAGACCAGGACTTTAAAATGTTCCACTCCTTTTCTTAAGGATGGAGAACTTAAGATGAAGTTAGGAGAACAATTGACTGCAGAGGCACATAGTTTTCAATGGTTTTCATGTGTGCAATTAAAAGAAAGATTTGATATAGACAAGAGGGTAACTGGAATTGAAAAAAACATAACATGGAGTTTGAGAATGAGTTATGTACAAATGATGAACATGTAACTGCAAACATGTATAAACCTTTGTTAAGATTTGAAACTGAAGGGGAACAGGTTAACGATAGTATGTTAAAATGAGCTACCAATTTTAGCTATAGCATACAGATGGATACATGGGAAAGAATGTAATTGGATAAAATTTACGTTGTGTTATAATTGAGGAGAAAGTTTTTATAAAAAGGCGTATTGTTGGTACATGACACCAGAAAAACTATCAAAAATGTATAAAGGTACCTCAAGTCAATGGAAATGTGAAAAACGTGAAGGGACATTTTACCATGCATGGTGGACTTCTGAAAAAGCCAAGAAATTTTTGATACAAATGCATACAATAAAACAAAGAATTTTAAAGATTAATATTGCAAAGAAACCCTAACTTTTTTTATCAGGATTTATGAATACTGAATTAGAAAAAGCCATACAAGATTATTTTTATATGATAACAGCATCAAGATTATTATATGCACAAAGATGGAAGAGTATTGAAATTCCCACAATGGAGGAATGGATCATAAAAACTGTCAGAATTAGTGGAAATGGTAAAACTGACCTGTTTGGTCAGGGAAAAAACAAGTGCCTTTTTTAAAAGACTGGAAACCTTTTATGGACTTTTTGCTAAAAGAAGAAAAAAGTGAAATGATGATTTATGGATTTAATGATTGAAAAAGATGAGAATTTAGTATAAGGTTGAAGGATTTTTGGAAGATATAAGAGGGAGGGGAGACGATGGGTTTGTCAATATCTGTTGAAGAGAAGATTGAAAGTCATATTTCTTAACTTTAGTTTTCTTTCTTTTTTCTTTTTTTCTTTTCTTGCACCTTTTTCTTTTTTTTTCTTTTTTTTCTATCTTTTTCATTAGATTTGTCTTTTACTTTATGTAAAATTTTCAAAAGATATAATTTTTTTAAAAATGTTTCATTCCTTTCACTTTGGAAATTGCCCCCATTCATCCAGAATTCATTCTCAAAAAGCATATGAGATGGTTAGAAATCTGGGTATCCAATCTGGACCTCCATTCCTTCTGATTCAGTCTGATGCCAGCTTTAATCGTGAAATCCAAGAGTGGTTCTGAACAGCTCCAACATCAAATGAGAAACAAATTTAATTCTTGATTCACTGTGTACATGAGTAACTTCATTTTAATTATTTTGGTAATCTTCAGCACCTTCTCCTTGGATACTCAACTACTTGCATCTGAAGACAGTAAAGTTTAATATTAGATGATAGTCTATGGGGATTTGGACTGCTTTCTAAATACAACATTTAGGTAAGATACTGGATTTCAATAAATACACTTAAATATCAGAAAAATAGGGAATACTAAATTACCATTATTTTTAATGTATTTTTATTTCATTAATCCATATACTACTAAAACTCTCATGGTGTTTTTCTGTTTGTACCCTCAAGTTAGCCCAAACGGTGTACTATACTGCAACAATTTTTGGATCAAGGTACCTATAACCCTCTAACTTAAAGAATACATAAAAATCTGGGACCCATTACTCTTGTGGAATTGAAATTTCCATGATGTTCAGACCAGTTTCATTTGCAAAGTTGTCGCTGTTGTAGCATCCCCGTGGTCACGTGATCATGATTTCTGATGCTCCCTGCCAGCTTTCCACAAGCAAAGTCCGTGGGGGAGCCAGCAAGGATTCAGAAGTAGCTCCTACTCCCACTGCTTTTTTGCCTGCCCACGATCATTCTGTTTATCTGGTAAATATTGACTTATTATTGAAGTTTGTTTGTCACTACAATTATTTTTCTATTTATGATATATACTCTTCTCAGATGATCATGGAACCATCCCTCATTGGGGTAAAAAAAATATGGTCAGCCTAAAATTTAACATTCG